TATGACTTAATGGGCTTTTTATCCTTGTAGCTTTTAGAGGATTGGAAGGAGAGAGAGAATGAGGTCCCAGATTCTTGACTTCTGGGTGGCTTTGGGCTGGCAGGGTCTCTTAACCAAAAGTCACAACTCCTGTTAGGAGGCCCTATCCTCCCAGCTCACTTTGGGTTTCGGTATTTGCCCAGTTTCCTTACTCCTTCAGACCTAGAAATGGAAATGCTGCCCCATTGTTAACTGGTACAACAGCTGTCAGTTATTGTACCATTGCTTTTGGCTTTCTAAGATACTTTCCACTGTCCTTAGCATATAGTTCTTTTTAAAAACTCTTTACTCTTCTCAAATTACCCAGCTTCAGAGTGTTATCTGTTTCTTTCTGGGTTCTGATAAATTACTCTCTCTCTTTCAATCAACACATATACACATCTTTTTTCTTTTTTCAATGTTTGAGATAATTCATATTTACAAAAAACTTAAGAAGGAAAACATTTATCGAGCACTTATTATATGTCAAGAATTGTGAGAGGGTTAAGGGTTGGGAATAGAGAGAAAATTACGACATAAACTCTTCCATCACAAGGAAGTTACAGTCCAGTAGGAGAGACAGGTGAAAGATTAAAGGCAATGAAGTCAAGAGCAAGGAATCTGTACTTAGACAGATTTGAACTCAAGTCCAGGCTTAGCCACCTACTGGTTATGTGACCTTGGGCTAGAGAAAGAAAAATGGGATTAGTACTAGTACCGTGTGAGGATTAAAAGTAAACCCATAAGTATCTATATTTACTTACATATATTACCATATGCTTAGCATATATAAGTTCTTAACACATATTACTTAAAATTATTGCTAGCTGCAACAACAGCACTTTGTACCTGGTTTACAGGTAGCACAATGGAAGGCACTGATTAACTAGAGCTGAGGAAGTCAACAAAAATGTAATGGGTGAAGAGATACCTGAGCTGGATCTTGAAGAAATAGTAATTTCACCAAGAGATCATACAAGGATCAAATATAACCAATTTCCTTTGCAGCAAAAACATTTTCTTTTGGTCCAAAGTCTAACCCATTCTTAAGTGTTGTATTTAATTGCCACGCCTCTTTAGTCTCCTGATTTGGAACAGTTCTTCAAATCTTTCCCTGTCTTTGGGACGTTGGCATTTTGAAGAGTATAGGTCAATTACATTGTTGATTGTCTTCTGTTTGCGTTTATGTTCTCAGTGTTTCGTATTAGGAGGTGCACAAAGTTGATTTGTCCTATTACTGGTGATTTTAACTTTTGTAACGTAGCTCTGCAAAGTTTCTCATCTGTGAAATTACTATTTTGCCTTTTTAAGTGATAAACATTTTGTAAGAAGTTACACTGAGGCTATGTAAACATCCTGTTCCTTAAAAAAATTTCCCCCAATTGTTTTAGTAACCACTGGTGACTTTTTGTTTTGTTTTGTTTTTTTGGAGTGAGAGGTAAATAGGTTTATTTATTTATTTATTTAATGACTGTACTGGAGTTTGAACCCAGGACCTCATGCATGCTATGCATACACTTTACCACTAAGCTATACCACCCACTTCCACTGGTTAACTCTTGCCTAAATAAAGTATTACTAAAATGGTTGCTAAATGGTGATTTTCTAACATCATCATTCCTTCTATATTTATTAGTTGACATTCTATTGTAAAGAAGTGCTTACTTCTGTCCCTCACTTGCTTGTGTGTTTTTATGAGCATGGGCTCCTGGATTACCATTAAAAAAATGGGTTATACTCTGATATTATCCTTACTTATTCTGATGGTAAGATTGTCTCCAGTTTGGCCCCTGGGAGTTCCTACAAATTGGCTACTGTGTCCTATTTATAATCTCCATGATTTTTGAGCTTTACTTTATGTTCTGGTATAATGAGACTTTCCAGATTTATCTTGTACTTTCCCTGCTCTGAGAATGCGCCAGTTCTTCAAGGAGCTCTGACCCCTTTCAGTGGAGAATGGTATTTAGAAAGCAAGATCTAGAAATTAGGAGTGCTCATTGCCATTAGATCCTCTTAGCTTTACTTATATATGTGTGCGCGCACACACACATGCAGAGTCTATGTTATCTATCTATCAATCAATCAAAACCTTCATATTGATACTTCTATTTCTAATATAGTACCACATGATTTGTTTTAGCCTTCAGCCTTGCCGTATTTCTAACTCCCTCCTCAGGGAGTGAAAAATTTGGCTCACTATATCCTTAATATAGTTACTTATTTTCTCATTTCTTCTTTATGTTCCATGCCCCTGATCCTTGATTATCTCCTTAGCTTTGGCCTTAGTGGTCCCACAGATCTCCTTTAGCTCTGACTGTTTCATGGGCCCCAACTCCATAGGCTCTGGGCACCTCTTTGACCCTGGCTCCAGCTCTACAAGTCTTACATTAGTGAAGGATGTTAACAGGGGAAAGGAATTATCAGATTTGTCTCTTAGAACAATCAGTTTGATGGCGAGGATTAGATTCAGTGGATTAGAGGCAGTTAAGAGGCTACTGTAATAGTCTAAGCAAAGGCTTAAAGTGGCCTAAACTAAAACTGCAGCCAAAGAATAGACAGAACATATAAAACAAATATTTAGAAGATAAAAATCTATAGGACTGAGTGATTAATTTTATGTGGGGACATGGGGAAGAAGAGGGAGCCTAATTTTTAACTTGGGAGAAAAGAGTAGAAAGGATGTCACTAAACAATATAGGGAATTCAGGAGAAAAAATGGATTTAAAGGGGGTGGCAAAAGTGGGTAAATAGAGGACAATAGTTTCTTTTTGACCACGTTGAGTGTGAACTGTACATGGACACTTGAAGCAGTGTAGCTAGTTGGACAGATGGCTTTGGGCATGTGCTCAGATGATGGTTTTGGGTATGTGCTTACACACTATCTCAAAAGTATTTTTCTCTGTGCAAAAGTCCAGGGAAACAAGGGCTTTCAGGGCGAAAGAACTCTTCAAAATGCCAAATTCTCATCTGAGACTCTGAAGTCCATTCTTCTACCTGGAAGTGGGTTGGCTGAACTTTGCCCACCAGAGTTAAAACAGAAACCGATGTCCAATGGAGACTTTGAGTTAGAATATCAGAAGGAAGAGAATAAAACAGGGACTATGATGTTATTTTGTAAAAATTTGTTTTGTCATTTTTTTTATGCTTAAACAAAAGCATAAAAATTGATTATCTTAAGAACAGCCAGAAAGGTGGTCTTAGGAAATTTATCTCACTCAACTTCTTGTCTTGTGGGGATAAAGGGGACCAAAAAAAAAGAGAAGCTGATGGCAAGGCTAACTAATATTGATAATAAGCATCACTTGTTGGGCTCTTAAGCACTTCACAAAGTCTATCAATTTAACAAACTCTATGAGATAGGTACTCTAATTTGTATTTTTCAGATATGGAAAATGAGGTTAAGCAAGTTGCCCATGGAAACATGACTAAGGGAAGGGGTTTGGAGGCAGAGGTTCTGACTCAGGTGTGCCTATCTTAATGCAACATCTGTGCTCTTAACTGCCCCGCAGCACTGCTTTCCTGAAGCTGATAGGAAGCGGCAGCCTCCGGAGCAGATGGCCAGCAAGAGCAGGAGAGTTTCCAGCCTCCTCGTGCTTGAGAAGAACCCTGAGGGTCTTTTAAACTAGAGTTTTCAGAAATTCTTGTTCCTCTATTTAATTAGCTCAGTCCTGGACACAATCCACCAGGGGTCAACAAACTGGAATTCCTCGAGTAGATGGACAAAGATTGCAAGGGATCTAATCATACTATAAAACATAAGGGAATATTGTAAGGAGTGACAAACTATAAGACATGACAGTATCAAATACATAAAGAGCTATCATACAGAAAAGGAATAGGACTTACTGTTTTCCCTAAATCTAAGAGTAATCCATGGCATAGTGCTACGTGAAAATGGAGAATAAAGTATTCTATCGATAACTACAAATAAGTAAATATTTAGTATGCACGTGGATAAGGATTGAAGGTAACAAGAACAGATGAAACACTGATGTGTTTAAGTGATGGTATCGTGGCCAATTTGTGCCTTGACTCTTATTTTAGTATTGCTCTGCAAAAAAGAAGTTTTAACAAATAAAAGCAAACACATAAAAGAAGAAATACAAATGCTGTAATCATAAAAAAAGTTCAGCCTTATTATAATCTAATAAAAATTACAATTTTCCATTTATCAAAATGAAAAGCATTAAAAATAGATAATATCTAGCACTAGTAAATCTCAGAAAATAAGATCTCTAATATAGTTCTGACCAGAGTGTAAGTTTGTACACACTTTCTGAAGAAAAATTTGGCAAACTGTATGAAAAACAATAAACAGTGATAACCCTTTGATGGAGCAATTTCACTTTTAAGAATACATCCTAAGTAAATAAGGATTTGTGTAAAGTTCGAACAAAAAAGGTATATTCACAGAAGACTTGTTTATAATATACAATAATTAAAAAAACCCCTAAATATCTATTGTTAGTGCATTTGGCTCAGTAAATTATTGATACAGTAGAATATTAAGAAAACATTATAATTATGTGGTAAAAGTATATTTGATGACAATAAAGGAAGTTCACAACATACCTGTAGAAAACAAGTAACTAAATACTCTGCATAGTATGGTCCAATTTTTGTCAAAAAATATTTTATATATGTACCTCTAAGGCGCCTTTCAACTCCAACATTTCATGATCAATTCTCCCCTATTTATCCCTTAAACAATCAACTGGGATAATACAAAAAATTATTGTTCGTATTGAATATCTAGCAGTTGCGTTACCATCACTACAGCTGTACACTGTGAATGGAGGTGTGGGGAAAAAAACGGGCACAAAGGAGGGAGGGCGGACACAAATCTCAGCCCACCTCTTGACAGTTCCCTGGCTTCCTTTTTTGTGAATGAGCAGTGGTCCTTTAGGCCTCAGGGTAGATACTATCAGAGAGAAATAGAACTTTCAAAAGGGAATTACTTTGCTTTTCGGAGGAGATTCCGGATGGACCAACAAAGCGGCGTGGAGCGCCCTTTCCAACCGCCTGAGACTGAGGGGGTCATTCAGGACCCTGGGATCCAGTCAGTAAGGGACGACTGGGGAGCTCGCGCCAGGCAGAGAAAGCGCGAGGCGTGAGGGGCTCTCCTGGTCGGCTGCACCGGGCCTGCGCCGGGAGCCGGGAGGTCGCACTCACGACGGGCAGAAGCAGGACCTCCCAGAGCCGGTGCAGGGATCGGCCGGGATCCCTGGCTGCCCCCACGTGTGCGCCGGCCGCGGGGAGGCGGGGGCCGCGGGACAGGACGGAGCGAGGGCCGC